TCTCTCTATCTCTCTCCCTCGCCCCGTAAATCTTTCTTCTCATCTACCTCAGTCTCAGTCTCTATTTTCTTCCACCCAGCAAATTAGCCAAGCCATATCACGTTTCAATCCACTGAATCCCCTATTTCCTGGATCAGAAGTTAGCAAAACCAGCAAAGCAAAATTATGAGTTTTGAAAAGAAGGACCTTGATCTGGTGTTGGTCCCAAACGGATTGCTCATCATGTTTGTCTATCACATCATCCTTCTCTACAGATATATCCATATCCCTCATAACACAGTGGTTGGCTTTGCAAACAATGACAAAAGGGCTTGGGTTGAAAAATCATGCAGGTTGATAAAAGAGATGTAGGAAGAGATGTAGGCACAGCCCTAAGTGTGATTTCATCCAACAAATCAGCAGCAACTTTTCTGTGTTCCATCTCCTTAACTCTCAGCTCCCTCATCGGAGCTTGTATTGGAAGTAATTCGAGTCAGACAGTCATGATGCTCCCTTAACGAGAAGATAAGCACTCCATCTTCTACAAATTATTTCTGTTTATTTAAATATCTTATTATTATTTTATATTATTTATTACATGATTACCCGGTGAAGATGCCTATTACATATGTTATATTATTTCTGTTGGATAAGCACTCCATCTCCTACATGATTGTTGACACTTCACGTACAAAGTATGTCTGTTTATTTAAATATCTTACTATTATTTTATATTATTTATTACATGATTGCTGACACTCCATGAAAGCTTTTACTATTGCTACAAAGTATGTCTGTTTATTTAAATATCTTACTATTATTTTATATTATTTATTACATGATTGCGGACACTCCATGAAAGCTTTTACTATTGCTAATGGAGTAATAAAGTTGAAAGTGGAGCTTACCTCCACGAATTGGGTATCTTTACTTAAAATGAATACCTCCCAACTTTTGCTTTAAACCTTCCCCACAAACAGCATGATATCTTTACTTTTTCTTTTGTATTTTATTTGCTGAAAGTGGATGTGAGTCGGGAGTCGAAAATATACAGGCTAGTCCGCACGATGTCTTTATATTATTTTATTATTTGATGTCTGCATCACACACACTAGGAACATCATTACAGGCTACATATTGTGCAATATTTATTCATTACCTAGTGACATATGATTGCCTTTAAACTATGTCACTTATACAACTTGTGATTTATCACACAACAGAATAAATTATTTATTTATAGAAGGAACATAGTACAATATGTTGCCTTGACAAACTTTGTCAATTTGATTTATTCATTATACGATCGTACTTATACTATCATTTATTGTCAGGAATTATTGAGCAACTAGATCCACTGATCAACATGGTTGTTGATTAAAGAAGTCTACCAACTTATAGACTGATGAGCCACGTGCTCATGGTGATCTTTTGTCTGACTAGACACCCACTTGCTCGGACATTCGCTTATTGGGACACCTATGTGCCTGGACCCAACTCGATGACCCTACAGATAGCCCCAACTCGATGACCCTACGTATGGCCCTGACACATAGACCCAATATGCGAACCCAACAAGTGGACCCGAGTCATGTCGAGAATCAACTCATACTGAGTGCATGTTGACATAAAATAGATACTTGCAATGAGGAATACCACGAGCCAAACCGCCTCGCAGCGAACATAGCCTTTAGCCGAGCCGCCTCGCAACGAGCATAGCCTCCAGTCGAGCAAACGCCTCGCTGTGAGCATAGCTTCTAGCCGAGCAGCCTCGTAACATGTGATATCTCTAGCCGAGTATTACTTTATGTTGAGCATTGTCTTGGGTTGAGTACTGGTTCAAGACATTGAGCCACTTCGGCCGTACATGGATTGGATTTGAAGTCTCCAGCCAAAAAACTCTCTTAATTGAAGACTTGGGGGACTACTGTTGGTACCACACATATTGGGCCTCAGACTTTGATACATTGGGTCTCATTACCTAGCCCATATGATTATGTAAAATGAGGAGCCCCTTATTCTATAAAAGAGGACTCCTCCCCCCCTCACAAATGGGACTTTAGGAACCCAACAGAGGGCAATACCCTCTCAAACACAACAACACTCTCTTTCTCTGGGGGACTCCCCCTCACCCTTGTAATCCATACATACAGTCAGAGAAATACAATCAGTGTGGACGTAGCCCAAACCTTAGGGTGAACCCCGATACATCTTGTGTTATTTACATTTCTTGCAGATTCACGGTCGGATTTACGTTGTTCCAAGACCTCCGGTTTTGTGCATCAACATATGCAAATAATATTCTCATATTTCGTTGGTATTTTACCTATAATGCAAGTAGGTAAATTAATAGAAAGTAGGTAAATTGTGTACGTGATACCAATTTACCTACATTTTTTATGTGAACCAAATATTCTACACTGTATATGTAAATAATTTACCTATAGTTGGCTTTTTTTTCTTTTTCTTTATCCTAAAATTAATTTACTTGCAACTTTATCTCCATTAATTTATATACTTTTACTTTGACAACAATTTTTTTTTATATATTTTTAAAGTACAATAATTCACCTATATATAATATGGACTCATTGTAATGGTAAATTGGAATTCGAGTGTGCCAACTATAGGCTTTTCTCCGTTTTAAATGTGGTAAGGAAAGATTGAACCAACAAATCCGTAAATTTGTGACAATTCGAAATTGATTGTCAAATTGATACTATCACGGATCCAAACCAACAAATCCCTACATTTATATGTAAAATATTATTTTGGGTAATTTTGTATAAAATCAATAAAAAGTTACAATATTGACAATAGATCAACAATATTTATATTAATTATAAATAGGTCAATCATGTATTATAATACTTACATGCCTTTAAAATAAACAATAATTACAAAATCTGTCACTACAGCTGTCACCCACTTGAAATGACACACTGTTTCTCATATATTTATATTTTGGAATATGTCAATACGAATTCAAACATTACAATGCAGTGTCTGTTTCCTGATTTTGTTTTTCACATTTGGATTCAGACGTTGCGTTGCAGTGTCCACTTCCTAATTTTGTTTTTCCCATCATTCATTGTGCGACTCTTGATTTTTTTACATTTGGATTCAAACACTACAATGCAGTGTTTGTTTCCTGGTTCAAATTTTATATTATTTTTACCTCCGTACTCCCCATCCCGCTCGCCTCACGCCCTCACCCGCCTCTTCCCTCGCCCCCACCTTCGTACTCCCGTCCCGTCCCTCACCCCCCCGTCCTGGACGCACCTCCGTACTCCCCATCCCACCCGCCTCACGCCCTCACCCGCCTCACCGCCCTCCTGGACGCATCTGCAGAACCTGACAAAAAATAATATTAAAAAAGGCGTATGACGTCAGCTGACGTCAGATCCACCTCAGGCGCTCGGGCTGGCACGAATCCACCGGCCTTGCGCTCGGGCTTACTTGGGCTCCCTCGCTAGCCAACGCTGGACTTCCTCCCATCGGCCCTCAGGCCCTTACCTGGAGCCTGTCCCCTGAGCAACCACCAATGGTGGACTTGCTCTTAAATCATGACTACATTGTTATTCAGGGTAAATTATTCTCCTTATATATAATAGTAAAACATCTCTACTAATTTACCTATATAAATAGTATTGCCCTATAGTAGGTTATTTACCTACAGTGTATACACATTCTCATATTTCTTTTGGTAATTTACCTATGATATATGCAAATAATATTCTCATATTTCGTTGGTATTTTACCTATAATGCAAGTAGGTAAATTAATAGAAAGTAGGTAAATTATGTACGTGATACCAATTTACCTACATTTTTTATGTGAACCAAATATTCTACACTGTATATGTAAATAATTTACCTATAGTCGGCTTTTTTTTCTTTTTCTTTATCCTAAAATTAATTTACTTGCAACTTTATCTCCATTAATTTATATACTTTTACTTTGACAACAAATTTTTTTAATATATATATTTTTAAAGTACAATAATTCACCTATATATAATATGGACTCATTGTAATGGTAAATTGGAATTCGAGTGTGCCAACTATAGGCTTTTCTCCTTTTTAAATGTGGTAAGGAAAGATTGAACCAACAAATCCGTAAATTTGTGACAATTCGAAATTGATTGTCAAATTGATACTATCACGGATCCAAACCAACAAATCCCTACATTTATATGTAAAATATTATTTTGGGTAATTTTGTATAAAATCAATAAAAAGTTACAATATTGACAATAGATCAACAATATTTATATTAATTATAAATAGGTCAATTATGTATTATAATACTTAAATGCCTTTAAAATAAAAATTACAAAATCTGCCACTACAGCTGTCACCCACTTGAAATGACACACTGTTTCTCATATATTTATATTTTGGAATATGTCAATACGAATTCAAACACTACAATGCAGTGTCTGTTTCCTGATTTTGTTTTTCACATTTGGATTCAGACGTTGCGTTGCAGTGTCCACTTCCTAGTTTTGTATATTATTTTTACATTTGGAGATAGATTCATTTCCTGACTCTGTGTTTTTTTTTTTTTTTGACATTTTGATTAAGACACTGCAATGCGGTAACCTTTTTCTGAATTTGTTTTTTTATGCAGTATCTGATTTGGGCTTCAATTAAAACATGTCGAAAACCTATTTGTGTTTCGTTATCCATGGCTAATCCCATTGATCATTGTAAATGGAAAAGTGTGCAAATCCGAAAGAGAAGTCCTACTGCATTGTCAAATTTGGATGTAAATGGAAAAGTGTGATTGTTTGTATGCTAACGAGCAACAAAGCGATAGCTGTGTCCATATTCAAGTGTTACAAAAATCTAGTTACAAATAAACTAAAAATCAAAGTGAGTTGGGCATTTGGGCATGCTTGAAAATGCAATCTCAGTTTCGAGCCCATCAAATTGGGCACCCCCCTAAATTCCTTTCAAATTTACTGTCAACGTCTGAAACATGTAAAGCAGCACCAAAGTTTCCGTCAATTCGAAATGTGAGACCAATCCAATAATCCATAAACCAAAAAGATGCATACCCAAATCAAAATCAATCAAAACACATTGGAAAATCATCGCAAACTAAACGGAAAACAAAACCCACCAGGAAGAAACTCACAGATTGAGCTATCAAAAAACGAAAACAAAACCGACCCAGATGAGAAAAACCGAACCTTTTCAACAGGAAGAGTAAAACAAGCCGTGTCAACGGCGGCCACAAGGAGGAGGAGGAGAGCGATCCTGAGCGCGAAACCCCAAGTGAACGCCGTGGAAAACCTCCGACCCCAAGACCTTGTTGAATTGTGGCCAAGTGGCCATCACCTTTCCTAATAAACAAACCAAAAGAAAAAAAAGTGAAAGGCATCATGATTATGTTTGTTGAAAAGAAAAAAGGAAAGTCATGATGATGTTTGTAAAGTAATCATTATGTCTTTACTTTGGTTTTGTTTATTAGTTGTTTTAGGATGGATGAATGTTAGCATACGGAAGTGAGAAAGAGTGAGGAAGGAGTGTGCACCATTTTCTGTTTTAGTAGTCCATCTTTGAGAGAGCAAAGAGAGCTGCAGAGAGCAGAAAACTGAGAGCAGAAAAGAAGAAGAAGGTGCTCTTCTCTTTGGTTAGCAATCATCCATCATAATTATTGTTGTAATAGCTTTGAGCTACATGTATAGAGAAGAAATTATTCATTATATTTCTTTCTCTATTTGTTTCTGTGGTGTGTGAGAGCTATTGGGTGTATTGGGTTATTTGGGTTGTGAGATTGCCAACACTTTGTAAACTCCCATTTGGTTGATAGTGGATTATTGGGTGAGCTCCTACTGCTCCGAGGACGTACTCCAGTTACACTGACTGTTGAGGAACCTCGTTAAAATCTTGGTGTCTTTAATATTTTGTTCTTGCATTTTATTTGATATATTTCTTGTAGGTTATCAAGAGTTGGTTCCATAAGGTTTGGTGCTATCCTAGCACAACAATTGGTATCAGAGCACTGGTTGCTCTTGGGTACTGTCTAGTTGCCAAAGATGTCAGACGGGCAAGATGTGAATCCTTTTGGAAGCAGCTCCGGGTTTGCAAGAACTACGGTGCAAAATGCAAAGTTCGAAGTGGAAAAATTTGATGGCACAAACAACTTCGGGATGTGGCAATGTGAGGTCAAAGATGTGTTGGCTCAACAAGATCTACTTGCCGCTTTGGGAGAGAAGTCGGAAGCTATGTCGAAGCCGGAATGGGAGAAATTAAATTTGTGGGCTTGCTCTTCAATTCGGTTGTGCCTTGCAAAAACTCAGAAGTATTTTGTGATGCGGGAGACATTAGCAAGTGTGTTGTGGCAAAACTTGGAAGACAAGTATATGACAAAGAGTGCAGAGAACCGGCTACACTTGAAGAAAAAGCTCTACCGCTTCCAATACAAAGAAGGTACAAAAATGATTAGACACCTTGATGCTTTTAATAAGTTGATTGCCGACTTGTTAAATTTAGATGAGGATATTAAGGATGAAGATAAGGCCTTAATATTGTTGAATTCATTTTGCCGGACTCTTATGAGCATTTTGTTACCACTATTATGAATGGTAAAGAAACTGTGAAATTTGAAGATGTGTCAAAATGCCTTGATGAATTATGAAATGAGGCATAGAGATAAAAATCATGATAGTACCTCTGAAGCTTTATTTGTTAGAGGTAGATCATCGGAGAGAAGATCATCTTCTAGTAGGAAAAAATCACAGTCTCGACCTAGAGGAAACTCTAAAGGTAGAAAACCTTTGGAAATGGATGAATGTGCCTTTTGTCGTAATAAGGGCCATTGGAAGAAATATTGTCCTAAATTGAAGACCAAAGGCAAAGAAAGTTCTGAAGCTAATGTTGCTGAGGTTGAAACAGATTTTTCTGATTTTGCTTTAACCACTTCCTCATCATTTGATTGTGCTACTAAGTGGGTGTTGGATACGGGTTGTACTCATCATATGACTCCTCACAAGGATTGGTTTTCAAGCTTGAAAGAGTTTGATGGTGGAGTTGTGTTCATGGGAGATGACAATCCTTGCACAACAAAAGAGATTGGTACAGTTCGTTTGAAGTTGCATGATGGCATGGTTAAAGAGTTGACAGGTGTTCGGTATGTACCGAATTTGAAGAAAAATCTTATTTCTTTGGGTACTTTGGAATCCAAGGGTTTCAGGTTTCATTCAGATGGACAGACATTGAAAGTTACTTATGGTGCACTTGTTGTGATGAAAGCTCCTAGCTCCATGTGATTGTGGCCATTTGTATTTATTGCAGGGAAGCACTGTGACAGGTGAAGCATCTGTAGTCTCTGAAAATATGGGCACATCTGATTCAGATACTACTAGATTGTGGCATATGAGATTAGGCCATGCCGGTGAGAAAGCTCTACAAGGGCTTGTGAAAAAAGGTCTTCTAAAAGGTGCCACGACTTGTAAGCTTGATTTCTACGAGCATTGTGTCTTGGGGAAGCAAACTAGAGTGAAGTTTGGTACTGCTGTACATCAGACGAATGGCATTCTTGATTATGTGCATTCGGATGTTTGGGGTCCTACAAAGACTCCCTCTTTGAGTGGTAGACATTGGTTCGTGACCTTTGTTGATGATTATTCAAGAAGGTCTTGGGTTTACACTATGAAGCACAAGTGAGGTAGGTATTGAGCATTTTCTTGAGTTGGAAGAAAATGGTTGAGAACCAGACTGGGAGAAAGATTAAGATTTTGAGATCGGATAATGGTGGTGAATACACATCCGACCCTTTCTTTAAAGTTTGCAAAGAGGAAGGAATTGTGAGACATTTTAGTGTTCGGGGAACTCCACAACAAAATGGAGTTGCAAAAAGATTGAATCGAACCTTGCTTGAGAAGGTTAGATGTATGTTGTCTCAGTCGGGTTTAAGCAAGTCATTTTGGGCAGAAGCAGTTAATTATGCATGTCACATCATCAATCGGTTACCCTCAGCTGCTGTTCAGGGTAAGACATCAATGGAGGTATGGACTGGAAAACCTTCTTCTGATTATGACTATATCTGTATTTTTTGTTCACCTGCTTATTTTCATGTGACTGAAAATAAACTTGATCCAAGAGCCAAAAAGGCTATCTTTCTTGGTTTTAGTAGTGGTGTCAAAGGTTACAGGTTATGGTGCCCAGAGATGAAAAAACTTGTAATCAGCAGAGATGTGACATTTGATGAAGAAAGTATGTACAAAGTCTCTAAGAAGAATGTCAAAGATGTCCAACAGGTGGAGCTTGAGAAAGTTGCCTCTGGTACTTCAAATCCTATTTCCGCTGATGTCGAAGCCACTACAAGTGAAGAAGTTGGAGACCATGAGGATGTTGAAGAAGTTGAACTTGAAGATTCTATTCAAGTTGAAGAGGAAGTTTCACCTCAAGAGTCTATTGCCAAGAACAGAGGAAAGAGACAAATTACCAAGCCAGCTCGGTATAGTGACTATGTTTCTTTTGCTCTTCCTATTATCACTGATGAGATTCCATCCAATTTTGAGGAAGCTATTGAGAGTGAAGAAAAGGAGAGGTGGTGCAATGCCATGGGTGATGAGATGAATTCTCTCTTGAAGAACAAGACTTGGGAGTTAGCTAAATTGCCTAAGGGCAAGAAAGCTATCGGTTGCAAATGGGTGTATGCCAAGAAGGAAGATGCTGATGAGAAAAGCAATGTGAGATTTAAAGCAAGATTAGTTGCTAAAGGGTATGCACAAAAGGAGGGCATTGACTACAATGAAATATTTTCTCCGGTTGTAAAGCACTCCTCAATTCGTATTATGTTAGCTCTTGTTGCACAATATGATCTTGAGCTTATGCAACTCGATGTGAAGACGGCTTTCCTACATGGTGATTTGAATGAAGAGATCTATATGTGTCAACCGGAAGGGTATATAGTGAAAGGGAAGGAGAATTTGTTTTGCAAATTGAAGAAATCACTTTATGGCTTGAAGCAATCTCCAAGACAATGGTATTTGAGGTTTGATAAATTTATGAGAGGCCAAAATTATTCTAGAAGTCAATATGATCATTATGTGTACTTCAAGAAGTTGCAAGATGGGTCTTTCATTTATTTGTTGATATATGTTGATGATATGTTGATTGCCTCAAAGAATGTTGAAGAGATTGAAAAATTGAAGAAGCAAATGAAGAATGAGTTTGAGATGAAGGATCTTGGTAAAGCGAAGAAGATCCTTGGCATGGAGATCACTAGAGATCGAGAGAAGGGTTTGGTCAATTTGAATCAAAGACAATATCTTGAAAAGTTGATTCGGAAATTTGGAGTTCATGATTCAACCAAACCGGTTAGTACCCCTTTGGCTCCTCATTTTAAATTGAGTTCTTTACAGTGTCCTAAAACTGATAAAGAGAAGCTGCAAATGAAAAATATACTATATGCAAATTTGGTTGGTAGTTTGATGTATGCAATGGTATGCTCTAGACCGGATATTGCTCATGCAGTTGGCATGGTGAGTCGATATATGCATAATCCTGGTAAAGAGCATTGGCAAGCAGCTAAATGGATATTGAGGTATCTCCATGGTACTCGAGATGTTGGTTTATGCTTTGAGAGAGATGACTCTGGTATTGGTCATTTTGCAGTTGGTTATGTTGATTCAGATTATGCAGGTGATCTAGATGGAAGGAAGTCTACTACAGGCTATGTGTTTACTATGGCTAAAGGGCCAGTTTGTTGGAGGTTTATTTTGCAGTCGTCTGTTGCATTGTCTACTACAGAGGCTGAATATATAGCAGTTGCTGAAGCTATAAAGGAGGCCATTTGGATACATGGGTTGATTAGAGATTTGGGGGTTTGATCAGAAACAGGTGGAGGGTACATTGTGATAGTCAGAGTGCCATTTATTTGGCTAAGTATCAGGTTCATCATGCGAGGACCAAGCACATAGATGTGCGTTATCACTTTGTTCGTGAAGTTGTTGGTGAAGGAGAAATCATTCTACAGAAGATTCCAACTAAAGACAACCTCGCTGATATGTTGACTAAGGTTGTTGGTGTAGCCAAGTTTGTTCATTGTTTGAACTTGGCTCACATTTTGCCTATATAAAGAAGGCGTTGAGCAGTAGGAGTTTTTTGGAGCATTTGGCTTGGCATGAATTGTTCTCTTGCTAGTGTTTGGGAGTGATTTTTTGGGTCAATTGTGTTGGTTGGCTTATCATGGCGTTTTCGGAACTTGGCCAAGGTGGAGATTGTTGAATTGTGGCCAAGTGGTCATCACCTTTCCTAATAAACAAACCAAAAGAAAAAAAAGTGAAAGGCATCATGATTATGTTTTGTTGAAAAGAAAAAAGGAAAGTCATGATGATGTTTGTAAAGTAATCATTATGTCTTTACTTTGGTTTTGTTTATTAGTTGTTTTAGAATGGATGAATGTTAGCATACGGAAGTGAGAAAGAGTGAGGAAGGAGTGTGCACCATTTTCTGTTTTAGTAGTCCATCTTTGAGAGAGCAAAGAGAGCTGCAGAGAGCAGAAAACTGAGAGCAGAAAAGAAGAAGAAGGTGCTCTCTTCTTTTTGGTTAGCAATCATCCATCATAGTTATTGTTGTAATAGCTTTGAGCTACATGTATAGAGAAAGAAATTATTCATTATATTTCTTTCTCTATTTGTTTCTGTGGTGTGTGAGAGCTATTGAGTGTATTGGGTTATTTGGGTTGTGAGATTGACAACAACACTTTGTAAACTCCCATTTGGTTGATAGTGGATTATTGGGTGAGCTCCTACTGTTCCGAGGACGTACTCCAGTTACACTGACTGTTGAGGAACCTCATTAAAATCTTGGTGTCTTTAATATTTTGTTCTTGCTTGCATTTCATTTGATATATTTCCTGTGGGTTATCAAGAGTTGGTTCCATAAAGTTTGGTGCTATCCTAGCACAACAGTCGTCGCACTTCGTCGTCGTCGTCGTCGTCAAATAGGTTGGAGGCCTCAAGCGAGGCCCCCCAAGGGTTTACAAAAATCTAGTTACAAATAAACTAAAAATAAGTGAAATGAGTTGGGCATGCTTGAAAATGCATCTCAGTTTCAAGCCATCAAATTGGGCACCTCCCTAAATTCCTTTCAAATTTACTGTCAACGTCTGAAACATATAAAGCAGCACCAAAGTTTCCGTCAATTCGAAATGTGAGACCAATCCAATAATCCATACAACAAAAAGATGCCCAAATCAAAATCAATCAAAACACATTGGAAAATCTCGCAAACTAAACGGAAAACAAAACCCACCAGGAAGAAACTCACAGATTGCTATCAAAACAAAACGAAAAGCCGACCCAGATGAGAAAAACCGAACCTTTTCAACAGGAAGAGTAAAACAAGCCGTGTCAACGGCGGCCACAAGGAGGAGGAGGAGGAGAGCGATCCTGAGCGCGAAACCCCAAGTGAACGCCGTGGAAAACCTCCGACCCCAAGACCTGCACTCCTCGTCGTCGTCGTCGTCGTTGTAAATAGGTTGCTTCAACGACAAGCGAGGCCTCAATCCCCAAGGGTTTGCCAGATTTGATTCGGCTCCAAAAGATGTGAGCTTCCTGCCTCTTTTTTTCTTCTGGGTACCCACTGTTTTTGTTTCCTTGCGTTCTTATCTTATCTGCCTGATTAGATTGAGAAATCTTCCGAGATTAATTGGGAATTTCAGATGATTAGGAAGGCACAGAAAGTCGTAGAAAAATTACTGATTAAGTAATTGTATAACTATTTATATGGGCTTGACACCATGTAACATTTCTTATTGACCTATATCTAATTAACAAAAATATTTCATTGATTAAGTTCAAAAATAAAATTGACCATTGATATATGATTCATTAGTAAAAATTTTATTGACCTTTTACTAAATTTCCTTATTATTTTTGTAAAATCATTAATTCCCCTTTACAATTTGTTTAGAATTAATTGTGTACATTAAACATTTAAATGAGGGTATGTTAGGCATCTGAAAAATTTTAAATAGGTATAGTCAAAACATAATTAATGAATTTGCTTATTTAGAGTCTCGTCAATGAGTTTTATTCGAGCAAAAAACGTATTTTGGGTTTTATATGGAAAAAATTGAATTTCAAGGGTTAAAGTTATATTTTCAGTTTTTTCTTCTAATCACAAAAACAAATGTTCAAGTCCAAACATAAATCTCATTTAGACATATGAGCGGAGATGGATACCCTTTTTTAATTGGATTAGGAGATTGCATGCAGTCTAAGTTAGGGAAAATCATTCCTATTCAGTGTAGGATTAGTAAACATGAAACCAAAACCCTATATATATTCATTCACCACATCAACAATTTCACCCACCACAATCTTTGCATCCTAATATTTGGTTTGAGCTTGGAACTTCTCACGAATCACGATGAACGTACACCGCCAGAAGAACGCACAACGGCAGAAGGGTTCGGGTGCGTCGATCGTGACGAGAGCAAGAGAGAATTCGGGTGCGTCGATTGTGCCGAGAGCAAGAGAGAAACGTCCGCCGCTAAGAGAGAGAGGTATACCTTATGATCAGATTGATGTCTCAGACATTGATTTTTTCATTTACTTGGCTCCGAAACCGGAAGAGATTGAGCTTTCCTCTCACTTGAATCGGTTGTCTTGGTCGAAGGGGTCCGATCGAGAGGCGGCGCTGGCCTCGTTAATCAAGCGATTAATTAAAAAGGATTTCATGGATGATTATGACTATCTGGAAGGAAATTTAATTAACTTTTACATTTTTTCTACAGAGAGATGCTTTAATTTCCAGAAAAAGGATTCGGCTTCCCTCTTAGAGAAGCAGCTTTCGCTTCATACCATAGGCTTGCTGGCCCTGATCGTCGAGGGCGAGGATAAAATGTCCGAAATCTACGGACAGTTGCTTCCCCTGATTTCCATGTCTCTGGAATCGGGACATGAACCGGCGGTGAAGCTGCTGCAATGCTTGGCTGTTGTGAGTTTCTTTGGTGCAACTAACTCGGAGGAGACTGAAACTGCAATGCAGGTTGTTTGGAATTTTATCAGTGCTCCGGAATCTGCGAAAGAGCTTTTGCCAGAGGTTCTGGTTGCCGGAATATATGCTTGGATGTTTCTTCTTACAAGCATGGAGGGATGGCGGCTCAGCTACAACTACTGGAATGGGGCGATTTCTTACTTCTGTAATCTGTTAGAGCACGGCGATAAATCAGTATGTGTGGCGGCTACTGAAGCTCTAGCTTTGATATTTGAGACTGGTAGTTTGGACAAGTTCTGGAGATCTGAAGAAAAGGTTCCGAGCACGATCAAGTATTCGAATTTGCAACAATTGCTGACAGGGAATGTTTTGACGAAACTCAAGTCTGTTTACCCAAACATGGGAGGTGATGTGAATGCTGCGAAGAAAGTCCGCCAAATTATGATTTATTTTCAGAATTTTTGCTGCCCGGGAGCATCTGTAGCGGTCAATGGGATTGATCTGAAGTTATCGTCATGGTACCAGATGATTCAGTGGCAGTTTTTGAAGGGTTTTATAGCTGACGGGTTTGAACTACACATGAAGGAAAATGAGAAGCTGTGGAGGGTGTTCAATTTTGATCCATACGAAGTCACCGAGGTTGGTGAAGAATTGTATGCGTCTACTACTGATAAGAGCAGGACCCGTTTCTTTTTACCGAAAGAAAGAGATCCGTACTTGCTAACGAAGGAAGCTACAAAGAAGGAGAGGGTTTGGAGGAACTCTCATTTAGACAAGGCGAGAACGCAGTTGATGAACAAACAACGCCGTTTGTCGCAGGAACTGAACAGCTGGATCTAGTTCATGGCAGAGTTGTTAGCTTTAATTCTTGTTTGTTAGCATTTCAGAGATAATTTCTAGAGAAAGAATGTTAGCAGAGTCAATGTAAAAGTAGTTTAATTCAATAGTAATGCAAACATTTCTTTTTCTGACCATATGATTTATTCTCTCTAAAATTTGTGTAGCATAAGCAATAAATAGCAACATCGCTCTCGCTCTCTTATTGTGGTTTTCCAGCCAAAAACCGGCTAAACAAATCAAACGCCTCTCGTGGTTTGTACTCTGGAACTGTATGTCCAGACCCCTGCACCAATACATTAAAACGAATGTATTAAAATCGCAACTGAATCCAATCAAAAGGACCAGCTAGTACAGTATAGCCTATCGTAGAAAGAAAAACATTTTCGTGCGCTGACCTTTACAGTTAGAAAGGTGAGGTTATTCTCGTAACCCTGTGTGTACCTGCGGCCATTTACATTCGATTATTCACTACACCAGTACCATATTTCACAATGTTTGATGTCGGAAATATGTAATAGTATTTACCCAGCAACTTGTCCGTTCGAAGTCCATGGCCTCCATTCATCCACAATCTTATAACCAAGTGATCTAGTCCATGCTTCACTCCCAGTGAAAGGAACACACATATCATGATCACCGCTGCCACAAAAAATCGAGCAGGAATGCATATCAGTTATAACATTCAAATTTCATTTACTTCTCCCATTTTAGCGCAATCAAAGCGAACATTGTAGCGAAGGTGAAAAGAAAGCTTTAGAGAATTTTCGACAGGCATGACTTTAATAGATGACATTGTAATTGGAGATTACCTATATATAAGTGCCCGATAACCCTTTGCAGTGAGGTTCTTGTGGTACTTGATCATACTTCCAGAATCGTGATAACATTCAATTCTGCTTGTGCATAATTCCCATGAAAAATCCTACATAGTGCAAAAAGGATTTCAAAAAGCTACAATGCTTCTCGGAGCCAGCAGGACTAGACATTGACAAACTTTCGTTTCTGGTTTAAAACATTAACTTTGATAAACCTTACCGTTTCTGCATGGATTGCCTTCCTAACAGTTTCGTTGTTCAACCATTCAGTAGCAACCTCATCATTCTGCAGGAGACATATCAAATCTAAGGCTTCTTGTACACGAGAATAATATTCTAGTATCGAAGTTGAACAATCTTTCTTTTAGCCTTTTCGGGGAAGTATACTTACTATCGAATCAAGAAATTAATGGCTGACAATGGGAAAGGGGATCAAAAGATGAAAATTGTAACAGACTAAGCAACTTACAATACACGGAACACTTTCACTATCCATCAGCTCCGGCCAAGTTGGAACAATACCATCCCTCACAGGAGCTCTAAGAGGCCAGGCACGACCAAACATTCTTTTTCTGACAGCAAGTGGCCTTTCAGTCTCACCCAACCGTCGAAAGCTAGATGACATTGTAATTGCAGATTTACCTATATATAAGTGCCCGATAACCCTTTGCAGTGAGGTTCTTGTGGTACTTGATCATACTTCCAGAATCATGATAAAATTCGATTCTGCTTGTGCATAATTCCCATGAAAAATCCTACATAGTGCAAAAAGGATTTCAAAAAGCTACAATGCTTCTGCAGTCGCATCCCCTTGATGGGAGATTTTAAATGCTTCTGGTTGCTTAACTGTGTGTACACCAGTCAATGCCTCGGGAGATGATGATAAGGAACACTTAATCGTATCTTGATGCATATGTTGCTCTGCACAATTGAATGGTTGGGGCAGAGTTTCTTCTAGAATTTCATAACCCTGAAAGCATAAAACCCATTTTCAAACCGCATGTTATTCGAAAATTAGTTCAAGAAAAACAATGTTGAACCAATAAAACATATCTTTCTTGAATTGCTAAGTAGCTTGTTAGAAAAGAGTGTAACAAGGAATAAGCTCAAACTTTTGAAACCAGTCAAACAAACAAAAATCTCAGAGATTGCTCAGAACATCCAATGTAAAAATGGATTCCATTAACCTCAAATCTTACTAAAAGATTCAATAACATAGAATACCTAAGAAATTAAACCATGTTAGTTGTGTACCACTGAAAATGAGTAGATCTATACCTCAAGATGGGATTTTGAAATCTCTCCAAGCCGATGGTGGAAGGCTCTCCTTAAATGCATATGCCCACCACCTTCATATTTCAACTTGTCGTCATTCTCTACTGCATCAACTTTCATGGTGACACGAAGATCCGGCTTCATATTATTGGTTATCCCATCCTTAACAAGCACTTTCGTAATCTCAACAACCTTAGGTAAAACAAACTTCAACTGAGCCAAGTGACTAATTCTAAACCTCTTAAAAAACCAGATGAAGAAATAAAATCAATCACTTTTTATGCCTAATTTATTTCTTCAGCAACCAACCAAACCAAATAACAAATTAAAAAGAAACCTTTCTCAATACCTATCAGTTAAACACTTGATTTTTGGGCAAAGATTGGTAAAACTTGGCATCAAACCCCTCAACTGCAACAATCGAATCGAAGCATCCAAGCAATTGAAAAACTCACTCAAAATCTCATACCTACAACAACAACGAAAAAAAACCCACACAAAAAAGAAATCAATCAAAATCCACCAAAAATGTTAGGAACAAAATACGAAAACATAATAAAGAACCGAAATTCACGAAACCTTACTTTTCCAATAGCTTCTCAGAGGCTCCACATGGGTCTCAATCGGGTTTTCCCCAGACCAAGAATCGATCTTTCATCTCGCAAATTGGATCTGAGCAGCTGGTTGCTTTGGGGGTCTGTTCCCATAAGAACTTATGACGGAACTGTTTTGGCTTCTCAGGGGTTATGGAGCTTATTGAGTCAATTTCTGCAACTCGGAGTTTTGGGTTTAAATGGGGTTTCTCCAATTTGAAGGTTAGAGAGAAACAGGGTTAAGCAATCATTTGGGTTTTGGAGGAACTCATTGCGAAGAAGGAGAAAGAGCTTTGGAATTTGGAGTCAATAAAAAAGTTGCCGATTTTGAGGGTGAGAGAGAGAGCAGTGGCTAAATGACCAATTGGGGGCTTTTGGGTATTTAAATAGGGTTCTCTGGTCAAACGGGAAAATTTTCCCGTTGCTTCTCGCGAAATAGATCCGTTGGGCAAATATGTTATCTTCCATATCAAGAGAGCACTGTTATTTGGGATATTGCTAGAGACACTAAATTTTTAAACTAAATTTTGCAAAATAAATGACGTGGATGTTGAGCGTAAGTGGCCATTTACCACAGCGGTGGAAAACCCTTGCATGACGGTGTGGGTTCAAACCCTGTCAGTAGCTAATATAACATTTACTCTAACAAATTCTATCGTTTGACAAAAAAAAAAGACGTGGATGTTCATGATTGGATTATGATTAAGTGTTGATTAGCGTGCTTGTTTCTTATTAATAACATATCATTTGGTTTGCACACCAAATTTTGTTAAGAATTACAATTTATTGGGTAAAAACCTTCCTCAGTCTCCCTTCTTTTTATTTTTCCAAGTCCATGGAGTATCCAATTTTCTTGCTCAATTCTGTCTCTTAATTAAATGCTTAATTCTAGCTACCTTTCTGTGTTAAGAACATAGATGTAGAATGCCATGAGAACGCGTAATGACAAGTTTCATCACAACGACTACTACAAATTTCTTGGGTGGGATATGAGAATGCTCAAACCTTACAAATGAAAAAAAACCAAAAATGAAAGAAAATAAAATGCATCTATTTGGCTTTTTGTTTCTTTTATATGATTTGGAGGGCACATTGGTCTTTTAAGCGAGTTTTTGGCTTTTGTTATAAAAATTTTATAAAAACTGACAATTATAAAATTAAAGATCAAATTTTGAATATAAATGATAAATTCTTTAGATTTGTATTATTTTTGGAAGCGTGATTAATGTTGAGGTTTGATGATATTTTACTGTAGATTTTGAGTCCACTTGATTAGTGTCATTAGTAGCAAAATATTGTTCATTAATGACCAAATTCATATTTGTACTTCTACTAGTTTACCCAACCTTGTTAAGGTTTCATGTGAGACCATGGATGGTAATTTATATGCAAAGACTACTAAGATGACGGTTTTGTTCTTAAATTTCACGTTTCGTAAATGGATAAACTTCCATGTTAATCTAAGTATAATTTCGGATTATTTCAAAAAAAAAATTCAGATACTTTTTTTCATTTTGTATAAAATATCTTCTTCAACAAAATAAAAAGTATTGTTCAAAATCAAATCTAGCAAACACACAAAAATCGACATCTAGTTTGTTGGGCCGGTCATGACATGATTGAGATAAAGTCCAACACAATTTATCTTCTAGAAGTCCTTTTATTTCTTACAAAAGAGCATTTATCTCTACATTAAAAGATTATTCCTTTTTAACATCAAAAGTGATCACTTTTGTTTTCGAAGTCCCGACTTTGGAAGGAAATATGTTTTTCAAATCACAAAAAACAAGTGTTCGAGTCCAAAACATAAATCCCATTTAGACATGTGAGCGGAGATGGATATCGTTTTTTAATTGGATTAGAGTTTGAGCACGTTGACCACAACAAGAGATTGTATGCAGTTAGGGAACGTAATTCCTATTTAGTGCAGGATTAGAAAACATGAAACCAAAACTCTATATATATATATATATACATTCGCCACATCAACAATCCCACCTACCACAATCTTTGCATCCTAATATTTGCTTTGGAGCTTGCAATTTCTCACGAATCATGATGAACAATTCCAATTTAGCTTGAAATTTCTCACCACATCAACCAAAACCCTATATATATTCATTCACCACATCAACAATTCCAAATTAGCTTGTGCACAAGCTCTTCTTTTGTGATGGCAGAACATTTGACAGACTGAAATACGAAATGAATCATGTTGACGAGCTTAGGTAGGTCGGAAATCCTCTATTGATCCCTATTTGCATGTGAGATGCTGGAATTTGCTCCTCCATTGCCATCCTCTCCTCATCTTTGAGCTGTAGAAAGATGAATGGATACTTCTAAAAAACATTGTTCATATATTCAAGTCCAAGTAGATGCAAGGAAATGCTACATAAAGCACACCACAATGATTGATACTGCAATTGATTTTCAACAATGTAAAAGTTTCAACTTAAAATGGTTCCAAAAACTTTCATAACCTCAAGGGCAACTAAATACATCTATGTTGAACAAATATGATTCTTCTTCAAACTCAAACAAACAAAATACATATGGTTGATATCCAAGGGCGCCATACGACCTTCTTTCTGCTGGATAGTATGGAATGTGGAAAAAAGGGTTGCACAAAAACAATGTTGTGGGCTGGATGAACTTAGTGATATTACAGTACACCACTTAAGCTGAAGTCAATTTCAGAAAGCTTTCGCAGAATAAGTAGACGAAATATTGTCATTGAGTAAATAAAATTTGGCGTTTTGTTTCCTTTATTTGAGTTGGAGGGCACATTGGTCTTTTAAGCAAGTTTTTGGCTTTTGTTTATAAAAAATTATAAAAAATTGACAACTATAAATTTAAAGGTTAAATTTTGAATATAAACGATAAATTTTTCAGCCGAGGACTATATTTGTACTATTTTTGGAAGCGTGATTAATGTTGAGATTTTATGATATATTACTGTAGATTTCGAGTACACTTGATTAGTGTCATTAGTAGCAAAAATATTGTTTTTCGATGACCAAATTCATATTTGTACTTCTACTAGTTTACCGAACCTTGTTAATGCTTGATGTGAGAGACCATGGATGGTAATTTATATGCGAAGACTACCCAAGATGATGGTTTTGTTCTTAAATTTTCACGTTTGGTAAATGGATAAACTTTCATGTTAATTTAAGTATAATTCCAGATTATTTCAATATATATATATCTTCTTCAACAAAATAAAAAGTATCATTCAAAATCAAATCTAGCAAATACACAAAAATCAATATCTAGTTTGTTGGGCCTGTCATGACACGATTGAGATAAAGTCCAACTCAATTTATCTTCTAGAAGTCCTTTTATTTCTTACAAAAGAGCATTTATATTAGACTTGGCAGTTTCTGACACGACACGAAAACGACACGAAAATAACGGGTTTCGGGTTAATACGACGATAACTTATTGGGTCATTAACGGGTTCTTAACAGGTATACACGTGGGTGACCCGTTTCGACCCGTTAAGAAAAAAATTAATTTGATAATTTTAAAGTTTAATTACTAAAAGATTTATTATAAAATACAATAGCCATATTAATATATACAATATATTCTATATTAAATATATAGTTTTGTATTATTATTCTATATAAGTTATAAAAAAAAGTTTTTGTCATTATTTATTTTTAGGGGCTTTTAGATCTAGGTCCAAAAATATAGATGATTTTTAGGAGTGAGTCCAGTTATATAATTACATGTTTTTATTTCTTTTATACTCATTTTATATTTTTTAAAAATATTAAAAATCAATTAAAATCTTCTAATATGAAGCATTTTTCAACTCCAAAAAATCTAATTAATATCTTATAAGAGAAAAAACTAATATACT